CCCAGAAGTCAGATCACACCAGAGGTGTGGCTGGTGCCAAAAAAGCTCAAAAGACGGACCAGCTCACTTCAGGTCAACGAAGTCATGCTCTGCGAAAACAGTATTTGGTACCGGATCTGTCTGGGAGGGTAAAACGCTGACTTGTACATCAACTATCTCTAACAAATCATGATATAGGCAATATCGCTCTCAATAAGCCGCTACGATTCTTCAATGGCAGAGGAGTGCATGCCGTATCCAGAATGATATCGAAAATCAGCGAAAGCTCCATCTTTTTCATTACTGTTTGTACAAGAACACCGTATGCAGTCAGAAAGGAGTGGGTCGAAGGGTGGGGGAAGAAGGGGGTGGATGGGGAACAGTCCCAAACGAAACTTGAGAGGTTCATTCTCAACAATATTAGGACAAAGTATGGCCAGTCCTGCTTGGGATGTGCCAAGCGTTGAACTCTAGTTTATAGACATAGCGGCTTCCGAACGCGGTGTGGCCTATACAAAGACTTGCGAGAGCCAGCCATTTTATAGGTCCAAGTCGATTTTTATCCTTTGGGACGGGTCTGGTACCAAATAGTCGAGCCCCGAGGCACAAGGCTTGGTCCAAGATCACTGACCAAGACCATTAACCGGGAACTAACCTCTGATCAACCGCCATTTGGGCCCGGTTGGCCCGAATGGGAGTTGGTGCAGGTATGACTCCCACTTTACGGCCTTCGAAACACTTGCCACTACACCGCCTTCGTCCTCCTTTCAATGTTATTGACTTGTATTCATATGTTTTACTAATGCTGCTTTCATTTAGTTTTGTCATCCGTGTTATCAAACAGCTTCTGGATTCTGCGAAATGCGTAGAAGCTCTCAGAGAGATGAAGAAACACCGTATTGATATGAATCTCATGGTCGATTATAAACCTGAAGTGGGTATTTTGAGTATTTTGAAGGATATTGTTGATCAAATTATAGATTTTAGATGTTCCTAGCCAATGTTCCGAAGTTAGTTGCAACGGCGAAGGATGCGGAACTCATCTGTATTCTCATTGCGGCGCTCAGTAATGAGCGAAGTGCGTGGTGCGATGGAGATGCGCAGAATGAGGCGAAGTGCGGTGTGGGTGATGGACGATGCTCAGTAATAAGGTCGTGCTGCCTCTTTTTTCTGTTTTTCTTTTAATTAGAGTAGTTTTGAATAATTTTTGGTACGTGCATGTGGTTGAATCCTAAGTAGTAATGCAAGGCTCCCGTCCAATCAGAATTAGCTAAAGGCAAAGTTCGTGACAGCAGAAGAACACTAGCATGCAGAGAATCATCGAACCTTCCTCATCTTATCTCTCGCCCATACAGCCAGCGCGGGAATGTGCTCGTTCAGTTACGAAGCGTAATCGAGGAAAGAAAGCACTGTATTAAACACCCCGCCCCTCCCCCAAATGATTTGCTGCGCTTTCTATGCATAAGCATATAAGCCTAGGTCTTGTAAAGGTGTTAAAGCGTAGAAAGACCTAGAGGTTTTGTAAGTATTCTCTTCCTGCGTTTCCTTACCTAGTCTGAAACACGCGAATAAGGTGGCCGCCATTTTGGCTTAACAAGTTTGATTTCAGGTCAACCGAGTGACCGAGCTGCTGGCTGAGGAGGTTCTCAAATTGCCTGATGATCGTCGTGTAGAGATGTTTGTTGTCTTACTGTCAGCGCTTCTGAAATCGTCGCCACCACAAGTGGAAAAAAAAGCGGCGTACGCATCATGCAACAGGAGGGGACCAGTAAAAGTATGTTACACGAGTTGAGGCGCTGCCTTGTCGACGGGCAGGGGCGGGTGGGCAAAATCGACGTCTGACAGGTTTTACCATGATTTCTTGGAGGGCTTGCTCAGCTTATAAGAGCTCACAGGCGTGTGCACCAGAGGAAGACTTGTTCTAAAAACCAAACTACGTGAAGCAACGAAAAGGCAAAATGCCCCCCCCCCGTCGGCATACTGCGCCCAAGTTGAACAGTTAGTTGATTTGGTTCACCCAGTTCCCGAAAGAACCTCTTTGATCTGTTAAACTCCCAACTGTACAGACACCTGCTAAGAGAGTAATTGCGACTCCAGCGGATGTCACCAAAGTGGCCTCACTTTAAACAGTATCGCAGCTTCGCGAAAATTTACAGTTGTGATTAACGCGAAACCTTTTAATCAACTATAAAAACAAAAGGAAGAAGTGAAAGTGCAAAATGCCCCTTTAGCGGAATAGCGTCTGTTATCTCCTAGTTTAGGTTCTAATTTTGTTGAGAAGTACCAGGAGCCGTGAATCTCTGGCATATTTCTAAATGCCATTGAGTAGATAAAGTTGAAGGGGCAAACGCCAGGCACGGAACCATTATGGTTCTCAACAGGGTCACCCTTATTCACAACGCGAAACTTCATTTGGTTCATATTCCTGTTGAGCCAACGTGTTATAAACTTGAAAAGCGAAAGTGGAAGACACCGCTACTGCATGAGCTAGATTATAGATAAGCTCAACCTAGATGGGATAATTTTTGACTTGAATAGTCACCTTTCAGTCCTCATCCTTCTCTACGAAACTCAGGCCGCAGTTTGATTAAAAACCCCTAGCGGTAGATTCACCAGAACATTGGCCGTTCGGGAGGTGGGGGGGGGGGGGTTATAGATCCTATGCACAGGATATGGTATCCACACAGTGTAGAGAGAACATCTGGCGTTGGGCCAGTTTTGGCGCCGATCTTACGGCGCACGCATCAGGCGTTGTTGTTCAAGCCCTGGTGCAGGAGTCAGGATGTTTCCTGCCGAGTTGAAGTGTCATTCATAGGTGTTGAAGGGAGAGTACCTCAAGAAATGGAACTTTAGCCAACTGTAACCCCTGAGGAAAAATTCCTATCAAAGTATCGCTTAATATTTCAAAAAAGTGGAACTCTGGGGGGGGTATGGCAGGGAGGGGCGGGGCCGGGTGTGGAGGGAGGGGCGGGGGGTAAGCTGCGATTTTTATAACTTTTGTCAAGAGTGATTATGAACAATACCTGTGTTCTGTAATTTCTTCGTTTTCCTGTTTCAGTGTCTGTCGAGAAACGTGACCTATACACGCGTAAATGGATTCACCATGTGCGATTCTTACCGTTGGGACTGAGAAGAGGCTTACCTTTTCGATGCAGCATTAGCTACGTATGATCTGAATCTGGCGCTGCAGGTGCATGCGTTTAAATATTGATATCCTCGAATGAACGGGTAAATGTGGTTCAAAAAAATGGAATTTATTTGCTCATGACTCTAAATGGGAAATGAACTTAAAACTTGTCACAAGAAGTGAGGTGCGCGGAAAGTGGTTCTATCTATGTTGAGGGTTTGTTTGGGCAAAACTCCATTGGCAAAGTGTCGTTCAATAGTTTTTCAAGGCATACCATTGCTTTTAGGAGAAAAGGGATTCCTGGGAGTTCATGATTCTTTGGTATTTTAGGTTGCGGAAGTGTCGAATCGTGATCCAAAGGAGTACGTGCCCCTTCTCAATGAGCTAAGAAAGCGTTGGTGCTTCTCTAGCTTAAAGTTACCCTTATGGTGAGAGATGTGTGAGGTCGTCGAGAACCTTCCGGCGTACAACATGGGCGGTATTTGGCGTTCGAATGCTGAAAAAGTTGGTTATTTTCCGCGCAGAAAAAAAATCAAGGAGGGCGAATGAAATAGCCGGCCAGCTTTTTCTGGCAAACATTTTCTCGTACTGGGTCTTGTTGTTCTGCGGGTTTGTTATTGCTTGACAGCTTTCGGCAGTTGCTACCAGTCATGTCTAACTAGGGTGCAAGGCATTGTGGTCATTTTCAAAGGGCAAACGTTCTTTGTAAGTGGCGGTGATGTGAAAAATTTGTGGAGATACACTTCTCCTTCGATAGTAGTGTGTTTCTTTTGAGCAGAGATGATTCAGTGGCAAGAACGCCATTTACTACGCATGCAGTTTGTGGATCGGCTCGCGTTTGTGGATCGAGTCTAGCAAGCCTTTACCTGCACATCCCTTGAAATGGTTGGTAGAGGGCGCTACCAGACCTATCTGGGGTAATCAAAACCCTGCCTTGTACATTGGCTGATCAGTGTAAGTTATTGTAAAAGCTAATATCCAAGGTGTCTCCGCCGTTCTGAATGGAAGTGAAAGGCGTGACCATCACCCCTATCATACTATAATTCGCTTTGTCTGTTTGTTAGTTAGTTAGTGGTGTTCTGTTTGTTTGGTAAGCTTGTTTTGTTTGTAATTGTTTGTTAAGTGTTTTGTTTGTACAGATTTTGTCTGCCGGAAATTCGGTTCGAACCTGCAAGAACGACTTGCGAGCGTCGGTCAAAGTTGGGGATGGGTAGGCGTGGGACAGAATACCATATATATAATTCGCTTTGTCTGTTTGCTTGTTTGTTAGTTTTAGTTAGTTTGTTTGTTTGTAAGTTTGTTTGTTTGTAAGTTTGTTTGTAAGTTTGTTTGTTTGTAAGTTTGTCTGTCCGGAAATTCGGTTCGACCTGAAGAACGACTTGGAGAGGTCCGGTCAAGGTGGGGATGGGTAGGGCGTGGGACAAGAAATAAAAAGCACACTTGACCTAAGGGAAGCTCCGCCCACAGTGGGCGGGGCACTCCCCGAAAGTTTGGGGTTCCGCACAAAAGTGTTCATAATTCGCTTCCGGGGCAGCCTAAAGATGGAGGAAAAAGGGAATAAGGTTAATAAGGAGTCGCAGACTACGCGTGAGGTTAGACCCTAATGGGCGGGGCGTACTCAACGTGTGTGGCGGCGCTTCTCGCAAAATTCAGTAACCCGGTTCGCGAGAGTGTTTGGAAGTCGCAAAAAGCTCAGTTTAGAATGTAAATATCTGGCGAATATAGGGCACGCTCAAAGCGTGTTGAGACCCGCCCACAGTGGGCGGGGCTTGCCCTAAATCGCAGGGTATTCATTTTAAATGTTTGTAGCTCAGTTCCAGAACACTCCAAATACCGGAAAAAAAGTGGATTAACTTCAGCAGAGGGTCGTCGGTTAAGATTGTAGGGCAGAAAAATTGTGGGCGGAGCCTGCTCCGAGGTGGGCGGAGCCAGACAAAAAGGTCTGTAAAACGGTTCCAGAATACTCCAGACACCGGAAAAAAGTGGATTAAGGTCAGCAGAGGGTCGTCGGGTGAGGATTGAGGGGCAAAAACATTGTGGGCGGAGCCTGCTCCGAGGTGGGCGGAGTCAGACAAAAGATCTGTAAAACGGTCCCAGAGCACTTCAAAGACCGGAAAAAAGTGGATTAAGTTCAGCAGAGGGTCGTCGGTTAAGATTGTAGGGCAAAAAATTGTGGGCGGAGCCTGCTCCGAGGTGGGCGGAGCCAGACAAAAAAGGTCTGTAAAACGGTTCCAGAATACTCCAGACACCGGAAAAAAGTGGATTAAGGTCAGCAGAGGGTCGTCGGTGAGGATTGTGGGGCAAAAAACATTGTGGGCGGAGCCTGCTCCGAGGTGGGCGGAGTCAGACAAAAGATCTGTAAAACGGTCCCAGAGCACTTCAAAGACCGGAAAAAAGTGGATTAAGTTCAGCAGAGGGTCGTCGGTTAAGATTGTGGGGCAAAAAATTGTGGGCGGAGCCTGCTCCGAGGTGGGCGGAGCCAGACAAAAAAGGTCTGTAAAACGGTTCCAGAATACTCCAGACACCGGAAAAAAGTGGATTAAGGTCAGCAGAGGGTCGTCGGTGAGGATTGGGGCAAAAACATTGTGGGCGGAGCCTGCTCCGAGGTGGGCGGAGTCAGACAAAAGATCTGTAAAACGGTCCCAGAGCACTCAAAGACCGGAAAAAAGTGGATCAAGGTCAGCAGAGGGCCGTCAGTGAGGATTGAGGGGCAAAAACATTGTGGGCGGAGCTTGCTCCGAGGTGGGCGGAATCAGACAAAAAAGATCTGCAAAACGGCCCCAGAGCACTTCAAAGACCGGAAAAAAGTGGATTAAGGTCAGGAGAGGGTCGTCGGTGAGGATTGTGGGGCACAAACATTGTGGGCGGGGCCTGCTCCGAGGTGGACGGAGTCAGACGAAGAATCTGTAAAATAGCTCAAGAGTACTTCAGACACCGGAAAAAAATGGAGTACAGAACAAAAGGGGGATATCAGTTGAATCTAGAAATATGTGAAAGAAAGCACGCGCGGCGAAGCCGGGCCGTATCAGAAGGAGCCACGCCGGCGTCAGCCGGCGAGGCGACTGGTTACAAAAATGGGGAGCTAGCAATGGAGCCTTTCTCTTTTCCTTTCCATCACAAGATTCCTCCTATATATTTCTTTCCCAATTTAGGGGGATGTAGAGGAGTTTTGAAGATTGATAATATCCCAGATAATCACCATACTGTTTGTTTCAGGTAGAGCCTGAGGATTATCGTAAGTATCGGATAGATTTGTTCCGATCAGACTGGGAATCAGCCCTGAAGCATTTATCTTACCTCGACGCAATTATGGGACGAAGCATGTGGGGAATTGATTGGCTGCCCGAGAGACATCCTGTATTCCGTCTGCCTCTGATTTTTTTACAAAGAATCAAACAAAGTATAAGGGAAGGATATCCGTTTTGTTTTTATCTGTGTGGCGTCTGTAATGAGTGAGAGACGGCCTGAGGTTTTTGGGAATATTGGCTTTAGAATTAAGAACTGTCAACTTATGATGAGAAGAGCCATGACTTGTGTTCGTGTACGCTGCCGGTATTGGGAATCGAGAATCCCTGTGAGGCCAGAGTATGAAAAGCTGGGCGAGGAACGAAAAGGCTTAGTCGCTCGCGAGTGACAGTTCTGTTTTTAGATCACTACAGCCGCACCTTCAAAAACACTGAATAGGTCCGAAGCTGACACATAGCATGCAGATTTGAGGCCGAAGTAAAAATGGATCCTTTGAATGCCAGCTCTCCTGAGAAGTTAACGCCAAAACCAAGATGGAAACGGTAAATAATTGCAATACTCCAAGAGGTTGGGCTTCAAAAGAACCATATGTTGATCGTAATGGACAAACGATTGAACATTGTGCCCATAGTGCGTCTTACTCTCACTGAGTTAGACGGGGAGAGAGAAGATGTTAACACGGAGATGACACAGTAATTGACCTGTCCACCATGGCACTCGTCCGGCGGTGGGCTTGCGTGCCTCAATTAATAAGCTGTGCATATAGGCGTACCTAGCGTCTTTGAAGTCTACGTCTTCAATCCTTTTTTGGGACGTGCTACGCATTCTTCTTCCGTTCAGAATCGTAGTGGTTTTTTGAATGCGGTGTGGCTTAAACAAAGATCTGCGGAAGCTAGGCGATGTACAAATCAGAGTTCCTATGCTTCGAGACGAATACCGTTCTACCCTTCGGAAGACGATACATGCTCGACCGTTCCTGAGGGTTAGAAGGCTTCAGTTCCGGGGGGGGCTAACCGGGAGAGATCGGCAACGGAGATGGTTTGTCTGCGGGTGGAGTGTCGGCGGTAAAACGTCTTGTATGGCCGCGGGGTTTTGTCGACGTGGGGGGGCAATTTTCGTACTACAATGATGGCGGACCGTCATCCTAAGTAGTCCTCATCCCTCAGCACACCCAACACACAAGAATCATCACAGACTTTATTATAATCTACTTTCTCACTCGTGTTGCGGAGGAATCGGGCGTCATGTAACGGTGTCCGGTTGCCGGGCATGAGCCCGAGGAAGCATGGAGGGTCCGAGGTGTGGCGGAGTCGGATCAGGAGACGTTCACTCTGCAGGCCGCGTTACCAAAGCTGATGCCATTCCATCGTACCATCTCCGCGCCGTCTCCGCCTCCTGTAATCAAGCAAGTTCATTTGAAACATCAACATGCCGACCCTGTAATTCTGAGTACTGATCTGACCCTTTGCACTCATTGGCATTTTGTACTACCATTGCTTCCCTAGTTCCGGTTTACAAATCTCACCCTGGTAAAACTTGTGAACCCTTGTGAAGCTGGTGCAAGATAGTCTAGCCACCATCCTAAAACGTGTTAACTCGAGAAAAGGCTACCTAGATGGGTCGGCACATCTATGGAAAGCAGAATGCTCCCCCCCCCCCCCCCCCCCCCCCCCCCCCCACTTGACAAACTGCGCCGTCCTTGTATTACCGAATTTTGTTGTTACATATTCCCTTTGCCCCTCTCTTTCTAATTCCGGCTGGTTGGCTTGGATGGGAGTCTGGGCTTTGATCTCCGCACTGCACGCCTGGTAAGCGTGCAACTTGTCATTAGGCCGCATACGCCTGGTACAGGTACCTGTAACTTACAGCAATCTGACGACAAGAAAGGAAATCATGGGAAGCGTATCTGACAGAGAAGGGCACTGGAAGGGAGCGTCTTCACATTTCTATGGTTTCAAACGTCCTATCTTTCCCAAGCCCTCCCTAATAGTTCCATCATTTCGGGGTGAATTCATTATATACGATCGGGTGATCCGCAATAGCCATTGTATAAGACGCCAACACTATGTACACTCCTTATCCCTGAGCCAGAGTAGGCGTGGCATTTGAACATGGCACGGAACTGGTTACTCGTGGAATATTCCAGTCTGGGACAACTGTCATCTTGTTCTGTGTTGGACAGAGACACGACAACAATTGTGTCAAGATGAAAATATCTCACCAGAAGCACAGCCACCTTCAGGTTCAGTTGAAGAACGCAGCCACGCCTACCCGATCTCAGGGTTTTCGAGTATAGATACCGTCACCAATCGAAAGCATGACGCAGCACTACAAGGGCGTATCTGGGCATTGTTGGTACGTTAATTTTTTTTAGGTGTTGCACTGTCTTGAAATGGCAGGGGAATATCGACCGATACGTCAACCATGCGCATGATCTTGGTTTTTCGGAAGAGGCTATTGGAAAATCGTTGAATAAGATGGCTGCTAAGATGAAGACGTCTGGTCGATGGTCAGAAGCAGCAAAGGCGTTGAGAATTGCGGTGAGAGTTCACGTATTACATTCATTAAATGCTTACGTGAATGAATGATATGGATTTCGGATTCATAGGGGTGCGTATTCCTGCATTTTTTATTTTTGTAAGCAGACCATGGCAGTGGAATTATACTGCACACATGTTTTCATACTATATACTTCACTTCAACTTTTTCTGGAGAAAATGCTGGGAGCGCACCTCTGAAACATTTTCGCACTGAAGCGCAGAGTGAGTAGACGATTCTATCACTTACATATCGGAGACTGGTCCTAATCCTTGAATCTTCGGGATCCGATAACCTAGTGCATGGGATTCAGTGCGCTTGATGATCACCTTGAGTTTTAGGGTCGAGCCACAGCGTCATTATCTGAAGAGCCGGACGGCTGTGTCTTTCTCCACCGGAGCGGCAGCTTCCTAAAGACTCATCTCTGAAAGTCCGCGGTTGCCGACGGCTGGCGTCAACTCTGTAGACTTTCTCGAGCTTGTATGATCATAT